CGTACAGCAGGCCTGGCCACAAGTTCAAGGTCACGCCAGGCAGGGGCCTCTTGCCTGGGCCCATGATGGCTACAGGGATGGCATCAGGCTCAGCGGGGTCTGGTGACGTTTGGGGGCAGTGGGGCTCAGGTCCCTCCAGTCATTCCAGAAGAGAACAGATTCCACCCTGCTAGAGGGGAGTTGCTCAGAGAGGGCTGTGAGGACACGGCCTTGTACGGTTGCCCTGCGCCGTGGCTCGGCGGGGAGGTGGCCATCTTCTCTGCATTGATTGGAAGAAAAACAACAGGAGTCCTGGTCATCCGAGGAAGCAGGTGTGCACGGCCCCCAGACATGCTGGCTCTCAGGGCTCAGGGCAGGAGCTGGGCCCTCCTGGGGGAGCCTCAGGGGCCGGGAAGACAGGAGAGAAAGGGGGGGTTGCAGGGTCAGAGGCAGATCTTCCACACAATGTCGGGGGCAGCATGGGTCACTGGCTCCCCAGGGAGTGGAAGGGATTCCGGAGGAGTCTGGGGGCAAGGTGCCACAGCTTCCTCTTCTCGACCTGGGCTCTGGGACGCCAGGTTGGCCTCTCCCCTGGCAGGACGGCACCTTCCATCCGTGCAGCTGTTTAAAGGACAGTTCTGAGTGGGTAGCATGGCGTGGACATGACTCCAGGGGGGCTTAGTGTCCGTCCCACGTCACACAGGGTGGGGATGAGTACAGGTGCCCAATCGAGAGGTAGGACACAGCCCTCCCCAGGAGACATGGGCTGGGGACAGACAGCGACGTGTGCACAGAGGCAGGTCCGCGGTCGAGGCAGGCGCTGTCTGTGGCCTCCGGACGGCTCGCCCAGGCAGACACGCTCCTTCCCTTTTGTCAAAAAAGGGATGGGCTCGGATCAGCTGTCACTGCCGTGGGAGCTGTCCTTGAAGCTGTCACTGAGCCTCCCCAGGTCTAATCTGCAAATAAACCCAGGGGAGCCAGCGACGGCACAGAGAGGGGAGAGAAAGGAGGGGTCCCCCATGCTCAGCCTGAGCCCGGGCGCTTTGCTCAGGGACAGCGACGTTACAATGGCAGTGCTAGCTCACTGCCCAGAGGGCACGGGGCTGCGCGGGACTCCAGGGCAGTGACAGGCCGAGTCCAGCAGGAAGGCCACCTGGTGCGTTGTGAGCGGTCTTCTCTGCAAGGTCCCCTTGTCCTTGGCTGGCCCTCCAGAAACAAGCGGCTTGGCCACGCGCCTTGTTAAGGTGCCCGAGATCCCCGCCCGGCAGGACGGACCCGGTGATTACGTCCCCACCGGGAGAGCCAGGCCAGCCAGCTCCCTGCTGGACAGCACCTGCTGGGCCACACCAGCGGCCTTGCTGTAAGTTGGCGTTTTCTGTCGCGTCTGTGCAGAATGTTCCCTCCAGGGCCACCTTCTCCCCCGGAGAAACGCAGACCTCGGTAAGTGGAAGGCTGTGCTCCCGGGACTGCAGCCTCCTGTCCCTCTCAGCTCAGGGCCAGGCTGCAGGACGGCCGGGCACACCCCGGCACCCAGGACTTCACCATGACCAGCACCGGCCTCCTCCCCCTCCCTGCGGCTCGCTGGGCGACTCCAGCTTCCCCTCACCCCAGCCCCAGACGGCGAGCACGAGGTCAGTGGGGGCAGGTGTCCGGTCCATTCGGACCCACCACGCCCTCTGCAGGGAGATCCCGTGGCCCTGTGTGGGCGCCATCCCGAGCACATCTCCCTCCCCGCCCACGCCCGTTCTGTGGGTAATGGCGTCTGCAGGGCTCGCAGGGGGGGCTGCCTGAAGAACCCAGAAACAGAGCAGGAGGGAGACGCAGGCCTGTCACTCTTCGGCCCTGGGAGTATAGCTGTGGGGACATCCAGTGGCTGCAGGCTCGGGACATTGCATCCACAGGGCACCACAGGCCTCCCTCCCCCTGGCCTGGGCGCCGGGGGTGGCTCTGGACAGAGTCCTCTCGGGGCCATAGAGGAGCCGTCCCAGGAGGGCCCCAACTCCCAGAGGAGGCCTGCAACCTGGAAGCCGGGAGGCTGGACCCCACCGCCTCTCCCTGGAGAGGGCGCTGGTATGCCAACACCTCCAGGAACAGCTGTAACCAGGGCCTGCCCTCGTGTCACTGCCTGCCCACGCAGACACCGGCCAGAACAGGTGTGGCACCTCCTGCCCCTGCCCCATCTGGGAGGTGCCAGAGGAGCCCAAGCTGTTCTGTCCCCACCGGCTCTCCCACCCTCTGGGCACTGTGCCCCCACAGAAGCAGCCCCCGTGAGTTTCTGGCCACAGGACTGGGTGGGGGGCAGTGCTGAGGCTTCTGCTGGGGGAGCCTCTGCCAGGACCCGATGAGCCCGCGGGGGAGGAGGTGGCTGCAGCCCAGGGAACAATCAGATAGCAGCCAGGCCGAGGAGGGGGCAGTGGGAGGGTGTGCAGCAAAGGGTGGCGTGACAGCAACTTACGAAGGACCGCTAGGCTTCTGTTGGAGGCCAGGCCAGAGCCAGCGGAGGCGACGTGGGTACGCAGCTGCTGTGGGACCAGGGAGACAGGAGGAGGCCGTGGTCTGGAGGCTTGTGGAGAAGTTGGCTATGGGTGATGACCCGCAGGACGGCCCACAAGGGAGAGCCGGGTTTGTCACCTTTCTCCAAGGATGGGACGAGCGTGTCACCTCACCTAAGGAAGTCGGGGGTGAGGTGACACGTAGCCTCGGACGCGCCCGTGTCTGGGTACCTGGCTCACGGCGGTCCCCGTGCCCACAGCCTAAGCTGCTTTCCATGCCCACCCTGTCCACAGGCTGCACGGTCGTTCACACGCTCCTCAGACGCCTCTCGAAGCCTCTAGGAGCCTCTTGAAGCTCACCTCTTTGGAACAGAAGCCCCCGCCCTGTCGGGACTCGCCGTGTTAGGTGACTGCTGGCACTGCCCAGGATGCCAGGGGTGGCTGGGTAGTCAGGAGGGGCCTCTCATTCTCACCAGGCAGGACCCCGAGGTGCTGGGCACTCATAGGTCATTCTCGAGGACCCGTCAGCTGTGACACTGCCCAGGCCCACACTCCAGGGCAGCTGTCCTGCCCCCACCATGGCACCTCTGTCCCGCGGCCTCCATCCCGCGGCCTCTGTCCCATGGCCTCTGTCCCACAGCCTCTGTCTCGCGGCCTCTGTCCCGCGGAGCCTTCCTCACTGGGCTCTGCCAACGGAGGTGCGGGAGACCAGGCGGGACTGGTCCTCGGTCCCCCACGAGGCGGTTCCTTCTTCTAAACAAGCAGAGCCGAGAGCAGGCAGGCGGCCCGCCCACCACCCGGATGTCCGAGGAGCTGGGGCACAGGCTGCAACGGTCCCAGCACACCTCCAAGGGGGAGGCTGTGGGCAGATATCACCCCGCCAGCGCGGGAGGGGCCCCGAGGCTTGAGGCTCAGTGCCACCACCTCCCATGGGGGTGCAGATGGGAATGAGAACAGGGAGGCTTCACGCCCACCGGCCAGGGAGTGAAGCCCCTGTGGGAGGGGAGGGGCTCAGATGGGGCTGTACCAGAGGGGCACGCTGCCACCATGGGACACCATGGCTCAGGGTGGCAGCATGTCAGTGCCCATCAGGTATGTGTGCCAGCCGGGATGCCTTGTCCAAAGCCGCACGGTGAAAATGCCAGCCCAGACGAGAAGAGGGGAGGCCTCCTCAGAGACAGGAAGCTGGGGACAGACAGGACCCTGAAAGAAGACTGCCCTTGCAGCTCAGTGGGGTCCCCCCAGGCCTGGAGCTGAGGGGGTGTCCAGGTGGGTGGGGATACCCCTGCCCGAGGGGCACCCCGGACCTCTGCATCCTCAGTGCCCAGTGGCCGTCCCCACCGCGGCCAGCCCTCCTTGCAGAAATGACCGACTGCTGGCGACCACGGACCCTTGGGTCAGGCGATGCCCTGGCCTCGGCAGGCAAGTCCGAGCCGTGAGTCGCCCCTCTGCGGATTGCAGTGGCTGCGCAGGAGGAAGGGAGGCCGACAGCGCCCTCTGACTCCCCTCATCGGCGCCCCGCGGCCTCGGTCTCCTTGGCCAGCTCAGTCGGCCGTTCCTTCGCTTACTCACTCTCCACAAACCGACTGGACGCTCACGTGGGCACGCCGGCGCTCCGGGCCAGCCGGGCAGTTTCAGCCCTGCCCTTCTCTTCCGTCTCGTGGACTAGACCGCCAGCACCCCACCCGCAATGAGCTCAGCACTTAACTCTCCGCCTTCGACCAGGGGTGGGCGCTGGAAGCCCGGGGACCCCGCCCCCCGGATGCCGCTAGCCCACACCATGTTTCTGACATGCCGTCCTCTGCCCAAGCACGTCTGGCCTTCGCGTGCGCTTGCAGGTGTGCGCCGCTCGGGGCAGCACCTGACCTCGGGTCTATCCGTAACGGTGCCTGCCCACTTCACGCGCGCAGCTCCGGGGAGCTCGTTAAATGCACAACGCAGTGAGTGCTTACAAAGCCCCTGCGCCTCGTTCGCGCGTCTCTTTGTGTTCTCATTGTTCTCTCCCTCCTCACTCGCTCAGGATTGTCCATCATGCCCCCGTTTCCGGCTTCGAAGAGTATGGTGTCACGCTGCTTTCTCTCCGAGGCCGTGAGCACACCCGAGTCCCTCCGGCCAGTCACCGCGTGCCCAGCGCCCCTGGGAAGCCCTCAGCCGTGCTCTCGTGCCCACAGAAACAACCACGAGGGCCAGGGGCTGGCGGTCGCCCCCAGACGGCCTGGCGTGTGCATGCTCGGGGTCACGGCACTGACTGTTCTATTGTTAGATACTGCAGCTGGTGGCAGTCTAGTCATTTCTTGCTTCCTGTTTAATAGTTTGCCACTGGAGACAGACAGAAAGAGGGACAGTGAGAAATCACCCCCAGGGAGGCCGGCCGTGCCTCCATTCTCCTCCCGGGACTTCGGACACGCGGACACACATCAGTGTGTTTTTCAGTTTCTTCATGATGTGTCAGACAGGTTTTCGTGAGCCTCCCGCGACGTGGAGAAATCGTCCCCTCCGGTCACGTGGGATTAGATGCACCCGTGTGCACCCCTGTGTCCGGATGTCCCATGGATTCAGCTGCATGGACAGTCGTTCCCACGTGGTGAACACTGACGGCCTGGCAATGGGCCCCCCGGGGTGCCAGGGCTGCCACTGCGTGCATGCGTTTTAATATCTTACGAGGTGCTATGTAAATTTTTACCTTTCTAAAATATCCGCTCTGTATTCTGTCAGTGTGGAATAATCACAGTTTTCCTCTTAATGGCTTTGCTTTTGATCCATCCTGTCCTGTAGTAACATTGTCGCGAAGCGCAGCGCGTCACCAGTAACCTTCCAAATGGAGACGGCGGGGTGGCACTGGGCCTCCCGCGGCGGGTAGTCCCAGCCCTCCCCACCCAGCTGCTTTCAGAGGGCTCGGTCCAAGGCCGCAGGGGAGGTATGAGTGGAGGTGTGGGCACACCATGAGAGCCCGTCTTCCCTGGGCGGGAGCCCTGCCCTTGCCAGCCCCTGCCCGGCCTCCTGGGTCCATCGTGGGCAGGCGAGCGCTCCCAGGGCAGAGACACCACACAGCTCTCGGAAGTGCTGGGCCTTGGCCCGCCTTCACAGCCTCACTCCAGGGCTGCTTCTCGCTCTGATTTGCAGACCCGACCCCGGTGTGTGCGTGAGCGGAGGTGTGCACCCCAGCGTGTGGGGAGGCCGCGCTGCGGGTCTGTGGGGCGTCCACACCCTCTGTGCCTGGAAGGTCCCCTGTGGGACTAAAAGGCTTCACAGGAGACACTGGGCCACTTTGTTTCCAAACGTCCCTACCCGTCCAGGCCTGGCCCTGAGAGGGCTGCTTCCCCTGCATGTGCATGGTCCCGACTGCTCTGTCTCCAGAGGAGGCAGCTTACCTGGACGTGCAGACAGAAGGGGCTCTACAGAGCCAGAGGGACTCGAGTACCCAGAGCACAGCAGCCCGGCAGCACCAAGCCAGCCGTACCCTGGCCACCTGGGGGCACAGCTGGGGATGCTTAGAGAC